CCATCAGTGTCCCTAACAATCGCAATTAGTCCCAGCTGATTTATGAGCCCTGGAGCCTAAGGAATTTGGGGTACCTATTCTATATGGCCCATCACTTTGTTGGAGGGGAGAACTCTTGACCAACTTAACTTAGATGGAAGCAGACGTCTATTTTGTCAGGCACTGATTAATATTTGAGAGGCAGCAAGAACGTGTGGGAGTGTGGGTTTAGAAGAGATGGAAATAGAAATGATTTGACTTGTTAGGGACTTTGGATCAGGGATATGAAACAGGACAGGTGAATTCTTCTCAGCTTAAGTATTGTAGCAAATGTAGTAAAATAACTGTGTTTTGCAGAAGCGTGAGGCTTGGGTATAATTTCTTTGAACAGACTTCTCCAAGGTTTAGAACTGACAGAGAGAGAAAAAGACACTTAGGGAGGAAGCCCAAAAGTAAAAATCTTTAGTTTGGTATTGATATTGACTAGCAGGTGGTAGGAATGTTAGTATATTACATTTCCAGAAAAGAAAAGATAAATTGTCAATTGCTTTAAAGCCTCCAATCTCAACCATTTCCAAAGGTTTTGGTACTCACGATATTGTGATTTTCCTTTTAATAACAGATAAATTAAGATGTAAGGCAATTAATGGCTTATTCAAAGCCCTCAGAGAGTGAACTGGAGAGTGAACTCAGAGAGTGAACTGGAGCTAGGATTGAGGTCTCCTAACTCTCATCCCAGGGTTGCTTCCTTTAGACTTGGCCGTAAGGATTGTATTGTGGAGACTTGCCAGACCGACAGAATTTTACTGCAAAAGAAAACCGTAGTCTTAGCTTCAAGGAACAAGAAATATAAGAAAGTGAGAATTCACACAGTGAGACCATAATAAAGTATGTCACCACAAGTGAAATGTCACGTTGCACATGTTTGAGAAACTGAGTCTAAAATGTTGGACTTGATTAACTGAATTTCAGGTAACCAAATTAGGCCAGAAAAAGTTAACATGAACCAAAGAGAAAAAATTCTTTTTTCAGGATGTCCAACCCATCTTTGAGATATCAGCCATGCAAGGGGCCCTAGGTTCTCTGTCTCCATGCATTAGGATGGCACAAATATTCCTGCTCAGGATGGATGCACTCAGCGTCTACGTCAACCGACTCTTCAGTCAGAGTCAGAGAAATCTTTCTCTGCATAAAAGTGCCATTTCTATGGATGGTTCAACCATGTAGAGGTATGGCTCTGAGTTACTTTGACTAGCAGGAAAGACACATATCTGCAAGTTGTGGGACCTGCCCTCATGTGTTCTGCTTCTGTATTCTGGATTTTCACTTGTCCCAGGCAAGATTGTTAAGAATCCCAATACAGAAGGTCAAATAAGTTTAAAGCTAAATGAACAGATTTTCTTTATTTAAACAAAAAATCATAATTGACTAAAGTTGAACTTTCTAATTAGTTGTATTAAGTTATACAAAATGTGTTGTATTAAGAATCAGAAAATGTATTTTCTATATCCATTTCTCTGTCATAGAGAGAAGGCTTTTTGGTTCTATTTGCTGTAAGTATTAATAACTGAATAATGGGGGAAGGCACATGGAGGTACTTTTAACTAGGGTCACTAAAGGTTATCTTTAACAATGAGAAACTGGTCTTTGCTCTCCAAACCTCATACCTGATTTTCCTTATAATTTCTGTGACATTTCCCATCCCTCCCTCATTTGTAAGGGTCCCATTTTTCAGCTCTAACATGACCTATTTTAAAGGGTCTTAATAAGGTCAGGTAATTCATATTTTAAAAATCCTGTTTAGAATAATTGCATCTAAAAAATTCACAGAGGATATCTCAACATAAAAGGAATAAATTCTGATGCTGTTTCTATTTTTTTACTCTACCAAGCGTCCAAGAAGGAACTCTATGACTGTAGAAAATAAGAATATTTAGATATCAATTAATTAAAATTTAAATTATTTGAAAGTCAAGGCAAAAGACTAGAAATAAATGTACTCTTTGATGGTTTAAAAGTAATTAGCTGATATATTTGTGAAAGGTATTTAAGTATTGACAGGATATTATAGTAGAATGCTTTGCTCTAAAGCATACACATGATAGTACATACTATAATTAATATAATAAAAGATAGGGCAGGATCCAGCTAATGATTATTTAAACATTCTCCTGTCCGGGATGTGTTTAATTCTGTAAGCAATTGGACATACACATCTGTTTGTGTATTTAAGGGGTATGATTAAATTTGCGTTTTAGAATGATCATTCTGGTGGAAGCATATAGGCTGGTTTGGAGTGGGCACCACTCAGTGGGATTCAAAAGGAAGTTGTTACACTTTATCAAATGGAAGGTGATGAGGCATGTGTTAGCATACTAGCAGTGTGAATGAAGACTAAGGGAGATGGGAGATATGTAATAAAGAAATGAAAGAAGATGATTTATTCTGTGGAGTGTTGAGGAAGCTGGAAAAATTAAACGTGATGCTTTGGGAGAGTGGGAGAATTTTAGTCTACTCAAAGAAAGAAGTCAGGAAGGAATATAGTTTGTGGAGAGATGAGTTGAGTTAATTGTGAGACATTTAGGAAACATTCATTAAGCTGTTGAAGATAGCATCTGGACTTTTGTAAAGGTGTCTAGGAGATAATTGTAAAATTGAGAATGAATCATGTAGAATTGATAATAATTGTCACAATTAGAGATATGTCCACCAAGGAAGAGGTAGAAATAAGAGTACAAGTTCGAGTGCAGAACCTTAGAAAATCCTTACAGTAATGGAGCAGGAGAATTTAAAATAATTATTCAAGGATACAGACAAAGAAAATTAGTTTGGAAGAAAATAAGGGCAGAAGAGTATCACAGAATTGAGTTTGAAGGAATAAATAGTTAAATTGTTTAAATGATAAGAAATAAAGTAGAATAAAAGTCTCTGAATTTGATGATTAGAAAGTCACGCATGACCTTCAAGAGTGAAATTGCTATAGATCAGTGAAAGTGGAAACCACGTTTCCGTGGCTTAAAGGATGGATGTAATGAGGAAATAAACCCAGCAAGTGGACACCAATCATTTGAGAGTTGTGGATGTGAAAGGAAGAGAGAATTAGAATGGTAATTGTTTAAAAAGACTTCTCTCGCCAAATTGGGTATGTATATTTTTTATAAGGAGGAAAAGGAATCAGTCACGAGCAACAGAAACCCAGGATGGTAGAAAGGGAGAATAAACAAAAGAATGTGGTCAAGAGTTTGAAATGAAATGTCAACCAATCATCCTCACTAAATGATGGACACCTGCCCTAATTCAGTCGCTAGTGTAGGAACTATCGCTCTTCAACACATTTGAGTTCACCAACGACTCTTTCAGTTGGCCAATATTACCCACATTTTACAGATTAAAAATATGAAGCTAGGAGAGGTTCAGCAGCTTGCCCTAGGCCTCGGGAAGCAGAAGAGACTAGATTCAAAGCAGGAACTGTTCGTTCTGTTCTCTTGGATGTGACACTGTCATTCATTTATAGTGAGACAAGGGCTGTAGTAGAGAGATGTGCGGGTGAGTAAGGGGAGCAGAGTGAGTATTCTCCAGGCAGCTTGCACATGCAACAGAGGAACGCATGATGTGATAACTATCTGTTCTGTGTCTTTTTCTTCCACTTGAACATTATGAGCACAGGGAAGTGTCATATTCCTCCTTGAAACTCCAGCATCCAGCAAAGATGGCACTTCACAGATGTTTTCCCAGTTAATAAAAAATTAAAGATCTACTTCTTATGCAGATCTGCTAAAAAGTCAACAAAAGTTAGCAGATTTGTTTTCTCTCCTTCCTTTTTTTAAATTTATTTTATTTTATTTTTTAAATTTTTTTTAGGAAGATTAGCCGCGAGCTAACTGCTGCCAATTCTCCTCCTTTTGCTGAGGAAGACTGGCCCTGAGCTAACACCCGTGCCCATCTTCCTCCCTCCTTCCTTCTGTACTAGAAAGCCTAAGCAGCCATTTTCATACTATCTTTCTCACTGAGACCATATAAAAGGGCTAGAGTTGTTAAAACAAAAGAGCAAGTCAGAACGAGTGAAAAAAGGGTAGGAAAAAAGAAGATACAATTACCACACTTCTCCCTCTCCTTCCAAAGACTGAAAACACCAAATTGTCAAAAAGACTCATATTTTGCTGGAGTTTCAGAGCATCCAAGCTGCCCTTTAGACTTCAAATCTATTAAAGATTTCGCATACTTTTAAAAACTTTTTTAATGTCTGAAACTGCGGGAGGAGATATGAGAGGAAAGCACAACACTTGTTTCTCTCTCTCAGAGTGGAGCTCATGCTACAGCTGATACCCAAATTACTGAAGTAGTACAACCATCAAGAGTTTATAAAGTACTTTCCCCATCATTATCTACATCTAAGCTTAAATATACTTGTGAGTCATGCAAAATTATCCCATTTTGTACATACAAGTTTAAATCTCTAACCCAATCACACGTCTGGTAGGTAGTAAAAACAGAATTCATATTCAAGTTCCCTAGTTCCAGATTTTTCCATGAGACACCAGCCTATTTGCAGTATCTATTTCTGTCTTCCAATTTTTTTTTTTGTAATTTATACATTTCATCATGTTTGGTGTGGTAGATATAAGTAGGGTAGTCCTTGAACTTTGACCCATATTTGTCTTCATTGCTTATCATTTTACCTCTCATTGTCCTCTACAATTCTCTCCTGCCCTGGAAACTAAGGTAAGTTGGAAACATACAAAACTTCCAAAATTTCACTGCATTCTCTTCAGACTTTAACTGACGCCCAGAGACCAAGTACTTATAAAGGCACTAGGCTCTCTCTTATGCAGAGTAGATAGAATGCATATTGTGATCAAGCCTGTCATCTTGGCCCATACATGATCTGAAACATCTGGCTAAGGCTGCAGGTCATATGCAATATGCATTCTCTTACGAAGTTAGTCTCTTATGGTTCTTTAATTCAACAACTTCTGTTACTTTTGACTCTCTCTGCAGATTAATAATCCTCACATTCTTTAATGGGAACAGATAACCAGACTTGGGTGAGGGAGTTTATTCTTCTTGGCCTCTCCAATGACTGGGACACCAAAGTCACCCTCTTTGTCCTGTTCTCCATCACATACTTGGTGACAGTGCTGGGGAACTTCCTCATTGTCCTTCTGATCAGACTGGACAGCAGACTCCACACTCCCATGTATTTCTTTCTCACCAACCTCTCACTTGTTGATGTCTCTTATGCCACAAGCATTGTTCCTCAGATGCTGGTGCATTTTCTTGCAGGACGTAAAGTAATTCCTTATGTGAGCTGTGCAGCCCAGTTGTTTTTCTCCCTGGGCTTGGGTGGGATTGAGTTTGTTCTACTGGAAGTAATGGCCTATGACCGCTATGTGGCTGTGTGTGACCCCCTGCGATACTCAGTCATCATGCATGGAGGTCTCTGCACTAGGTTGGTCATCACATCCTGGGTCAGTGGCTCCATCAACTCTCTCATGCAGAGCACCATCACCTTTCAGCTGCCCATGTGCACAAACAAGTTTATTGATCACATATCCTGTGAAATCCTAGCTGTGGTCAGACTGGCCTGTGTGGACACCTCCTCCAATGAGATCGCAATCATGGTTTCTAGCATTGTCTTACTGATGGCACCTTTCTGCCTGGTTCTCTTGTCCTACATCAAGATCATCTCCACCATCCTAAAGATCCAGTCCACAGAGGGCAGGAAGAAAGCCTTTCAAACGTGTGCCTCTCACCTCACAGTGGTTGTCCTGTGCTATGGCATGACCATTTTCACTTACATCCAGCCACATTCCAGTCCCTCTGTCCTTCAAGAGAAGTTGATCTCTATCTTCTATGCCATTTTGATGCCTGTGCTGAACCCTGTGATTTATAGTATAAGGAATAAGGAGGTGAAGGAAGCCTGGCAGAAACTACTACGACAATTATCTGGATTAACGTCAAAACTGGCAAGTTGATGAATCATGAGCATCACTTAGAGAAAAGAGCTTTGCCTGTGTGTTCTCCCACTCAACTTAGATGTGATGGGCATCAACTGCATTGCCCTGGCAACCAGGAAGGAGATGATGAAACGTGTACTGGTGATGCTGGGTAGAAGGCTGAGTGGTTGGGTTTGGGTGTGGGATGTGGGAGTACTTTTATGTGACCGCAGCATGTCCAGCAGAATTAAGCACTGCTGTAAAAGAACTTTCTACCCTTACTCAGTCTCCATTCATATGGCCTGAGAGTAATTGAAGAAAGTACCATTTACTGTTTCGATTTGTCATATTTTTTGTAATCACGGACCAATTCATGGGCCTTACCTTGGACTGCTGGTTCCTATTTATCCAGATTTTGTACAAGTTTATCGTGTTTCCATTGGGAGCAAAAGCAATTTCACATTTTAGACTGACTTAGAAAAATGTATGGTTTATGTAGCCATATACAGTTGCGCAAGTCACTATTCTGAGGAGAATGTTGCTATCAAGGCTGATTAAAATGTTTTTATGCTGGGCCCATGATATGTGGACATAATGTGTGAGTGCTGGAGGTGACTCCGTGGAGAAGCATCAGCTAAAGGTCTTATTTTACTGAAAGAATGTAACTAAAGGTGTTGTAGGCAAGTATCCTTGGCCAAGGAAAAGTTACATTTCAAGCTCTTCTTGATAGTGTGTAGACAGTTGAGAGGAATTTTACTGCATATATAAGAGGTACATTTTAAATATTCAAATTATTCCATCTCTGAAAAAACTATTAACTCTTTCCCTACACTTTAGATACAAAATAAGCACATAAAATTTGAGATAATGTATAAAATATTAAGGATATAGTTAGTATAAGAAAAAGCACATTCCTCAGCTGACACCAATGAAAGACAAGACAACTTTAATATGTATCTTGGGAATCAGGATATTTTTGTCAGCTGGGCAGATGTTGCCTTCCAGTCACCATATTGAGCATTTTCCCATCCCTCTTCCTCAACACACAACAGGGCCCTAGATGATCTTTGTAAATCTGTGGAGGTGGTATAGTCTGAGAGTGGACCACATCTCTGAGAAAATGCCTAAATTAAGTAATGGTAAAGAGTGGGAAGAAATAATTGTACGTGGATGAGGACAGGGAATGAAGAGAAAGAATGTGACAGTAGCTCATCTTTTCACTCCCTTGAGAACGATTTAAAATTCTTTCCTTCCGTTGTTTCTTCAAGGCAGTTGATTTGAAGTTATTCCATTTATGAATACATTACCACAGAATCTCATGGTTTAAACAGTGTTGAAGGTTCACATCAACCAAAACTCATTTGATATTTATTTTTAAAAATTATTTTCTTGAGGTCACATTGGCTTACATCATTGTGTACATTTTAGGCGCACATTATTATATTTCAATCTCTGTATAGGCTACATCATGTTCACCACCAATAGTCTAGTTTTTATGTCACCATACATATGTGCCTTTTACCCCTTTCAACCTCCCCGGACCCCTTCCCTCTGGTAACCACTAATCTGTTCTCTTTATATATGTATTTGTTTTTCTTCCATATATGAGTGAAATCATAAGGTGTTTGTCTTTGTTTGACTTATTTCACTTAGCATAATATCCTCAAGGTCCATTCATCTTGTTGCAAATGGCACAATTTTGTCTTCCTTTACGGCTGAGTAGTATTCCATTGTATATATATATATATATATCACACCTTCTTTATCCATTCATCCATTGACAGGCACTTGGGTTGCTTTCACATCTCAGTTATTGTGAATAATGCTGTGATGAACATAGGAATGCGTGAATCTCTTTGAAGTCTTGATTGCATGTTTTTTGGATACATACCCAATAGTGGGATAGCAGGATCAAATGGTAAACGTATTTTAAATTTTTTGAGAAATCTTCATGTGTTTTCCAAGTATCTGCACCAGTTTGCTTTCCCAGAAGCAGTGTATGAAGGTTCCCTTTTTTCCACGTCCTCTCCAACACTTGTTATTTCTTGTCTTAATTATAGCTATTCTGACTGGTGTGAGGTGCTATGCCATTGTAGTTTTGATTTGCATTTGCCTAGTAATTAGTGATATCGAACGTCTTTTCATGTGCCTGTTGGCCATCTGTTTATCTTCTTTGGAAAAATGTCTGTTCATATCCTCTGCCCATTTTTTTATTGGGTTGTTCTTTGTTTTCTTTGTTATAACTGCAGCAGCATTGGTTTAAAACATTATATATATTTCAGGAGTACATAATTATATTTTGATTCCTGTGTAGATTATATCATGTTCACCACTCAAAGATTAATTACAATCCCTCACCACACGCATGTGCCTAATCATCCCTTTCGCCCTTCTCCCTCCCCCTTCCCCTCTGATAACGACCAATTGAATTTCTGTCTCTATGTGATTGTACGTTGTTGTTTTTATATTCTACTTATGAGTGAGATCATACAGTATTTGACTTTCTCCCTCTGACTTATTTCACTTAGCTAGTACCCTCAAGGACCATCCTTGTTGTCACAAATGGCCGGATGTCATCTTTTCTTATGGCTGGCTAGTATTCCCTTGTGTATATATACCACATTTTCTTTACCCATTTGTCCCTTGATGGGCACCTATGTTGCTTCAAAGTCTTGGCTATTGTGAATAATGCTGCAATAAACATCGGGTTGCATGTATCTTTATGCACTTGTGTTTTCATGTTCTTTGGATAAATACCCAGCAGCGGAAAAGCTGGATCGTATGATAGTTCTGTTCTTAATTTTTTGAGGAACATCCATACTGTTGTGCACAGTGGCTGCACCAGTTTGCACTCCCACCAGCAGTGTACGAGGGTTCCCTTCTCTCCACATCCTCTCCAACACTTGTTTCCTATCTTGTTAATTATAGCCATTCTGACCGGAGTGAGATGACATCTCATTGTAGTTTTGATTTGGATTTCCCTGATAGTTAATGACATTGAAGACCCTTTCATGTGCCTGTTGACCATCTGTATATCTTCTTTGAAGAAATTTCTGTGTAGATTTTTGCCCATTTTTTAATAGGGTTGTTAGATTTTTGGTTGTTGAGATGCATGAGTTCTTTTATATATTTTGGATGTTAACCCCTTGTAAGATTATCAGGTTTTCAAATATCTTCTCCTAATTGTTAGGTTGTCTTTTCATTTTGTTGATGGTTTCCTTTGCTGTGAAGAAGCTTTTTAGTTTGATGTAGTCCCAATTGTTTATTTTTTCTATTGCTTCGCTTCCCCAGTCAGACATGGTACTTGAAAATATGCTGCTAAGACTGACATCGAAGAGTGTACTGCCTATGTCTTCTGCTCTAAGTTTCCTGGTTTCAGGTCTACGTTCAAGTCTTCAGTCTATTTTGAGTTAATTTTTGTGTATGGTGTTAGATAATGGTCTACTTTCATTCTTTTGCCTGTGACTGTCCACTTTTCCTAACACCATTTGTTGAAGAGACTTTCCTTTCTCTATTGTACGTTCTTGGCTCACTTGTCAAAAATTAGCTGTCCATAGATGTGTGGGTTTATTTCTGGGCGCTCTATTCTGTTCCATTGATCTGTGTGTTTGCTTTTGTGCCAGTACCATGCTGTTTTGGTTACAATAACTTTGTAGAATATTTTGAAATCAGGGAGTGTGATACCTCCAACTTTGTTCTTTCTTCTCAGGATTCCTTTGGCTATTTGGCGTGTTTTGTTGTTTCAATAAATTTTAGGATGCTTTGTCCTATTTCTGTGAAAAATGTTATTGGAACTTTGAAAAGGATTGCAATGAATCTGTAGATTTCTTTAAGAAGTATGGACGTTTTAACTATGTTCTTTCTTCCAATCCAGAAGCGTGAAATATGTTTCCATATCTTTGTGTCTTCTTCAGTTTCTTTCAACAATGTCTTATAGTTTTCAGTATACAGATCTTTCACCTCTTTGGTTAAGTTTATTCCCAGGTATTTTATTCTTTTTTTTTTTGCAATTGTAAATGGGATTGTATTCTTAATTTCTCTTTCAGCTACTTCGTTTTTAGTGTACAGAGAAGCAACTGATTTTTGTATGTTGATTTTGTATCCTGCAGCTTTACTGTATTCGTTCATTATTTCTAAAAGTTTTTTTAGTGGATTCCTTAAGCTTTCTATACATAAAATCATGTCATCTGCAAATAGTGACAGTTTCACTTCTTCCTTTCCAATTTGGATCTCTTTTAATTCTTTTTCTTGCCTAATTTCTCTAGCTAAGACTTCCAATACTATGTTAAGTAAGAGTGGTGAAAGTGGGCATCCGTGTCTGGTTCCTGTTCTTAGAAGGATAGCTTTCAGTTTTTCTCCACTGAGAATATTAGCTGTGGATTTGTCATATATGGACTTTTTTTTTTTTTGCTAAGGTGCTTTCCTTCTATATCCATTTTATTCAGAGTTTTTCTCATAAATGGGTGCTGTCTCATCAAATGCTTTCTCTGCATCTATTGAGATGATCATCTGCTTTTTATTCTTCATTTTGTTAATGTGGTGTATCACATTGATTGATTTGTGGACGTTGAACCATCCCTGCATCCCTGGAATAAATCCCACTTGATCATGGTGTATGATCATTTTAATGTATTGCTGTGTTTGATTTGCTAGTATTTTGTTGGTGATTTTTGCATTGATGTTCATCAGTGATACTGGCCTGTAGTTTTCTTTCTTTTTTTTTTCTTGTCCTTGTTTGGTTTTGGTGTTAGGGCAATGTTCACTTTGTAGAATGAGTTATAAAGCTTCCCTTTCTCTTCAACTTTTTAGAAGAGTTTCAGAAGGTTAGGTATTGTCTTTTTTGAATGTTTGGTGGATTTTAACAGGGAACCCGTCTGGTTCTGGACTTTTATTTTTGGGGAGGTTTTTCATTATTGTTTTGATCTCCTTACTCGTGATTTGTTAATTTAAGTTCTCTATTTCTTCTTGATTCAGTTTTGGAAGGTTGTATGATTCTAAGAATTAATCCATTTCTTTTAGATTATCTGACTTGTTGGTGTATAGCTTTCTGTAGTATTCTATAGTAATCTT